ACAAGTGTGTGGTGGCACTAACCACCCCCTTGCCACGTGCTTCAAGAAGAAAGACGACGAGTGGTATGCCATCCACGGGGTTGACAAGAAGCCGCCAAACTGGATGCGCGCTCGTAAGGCCAATCTCGTTGAGGTCCAGGACCCCTCTTCGGCTAGTGCTAGTGACAGTGCTCCTGTTGATGTGCGTATCAACCTGTTGTTTCCTGGCACTGCCATGATTAATGAAGCCACTTCCCAGTACATCGACTCATCACAGGCACCACAGTACATAGAGTTCACACTCGACAGTGGGGCCACTCACACTGTGCTCAAGGAGACACTCTCCTTCAAACCCTATCCAGCACCTATCCCTCTCTTGGGAGCTGACTCCAGCTTCACCACCCTAGCCAAGGGCACCTCCACAGTCCCATGCCCAGCCTTCCCTTCCGGCACCGTCACTGGCATGTGCGTGCCTTCACTACGCCACAATCTAGTGGCTCAAACAGAAATTCAGAAAGCAGGGCTACGCACCATCTTCTCGGAGAATGAGGACCACTGCGACATCATTGACCCACTCACCAACAAGGTCTTGGCCCGCTTCACCCTCAATAGCAGCGGCCTCTACACGCTACGCGTTCCTCTCCCACAGGTTTCAACCACCCAAGCACAGGCTCCCATCACACCATGCACATGTCGCAGCCTCTCCAACCCGACCATCCTCTATCATCATCGGTTAGGGCACCCAAACTTCCGCACGCTTGCTGACATGGCCTCCAAGAAACTTCTTCTCGGCCTGCCAGCCACACTTCCTCCACCACCTGACTCACCCGCTCCCACGTGCCTTGATTGCACCAAGAGCAAACTGCGCCAACAGCCCCACACTGCCTCACCCACAATCGCAGCGGCACCACTGGACCTAGTGCACATGGACGTCTGGGGCCCTGCCCCTGTTCTTGCACGAGGTGGATATCGCTACTTCCTAGTTATCGTGGATGACCACTCACGATACGTCTCTGTTCACCTCCTCCACACTAAGGCTGAGGCTCCAGAGGTCATCATGGCGTGGGTCAAGCAGGCACAGACCACCTTTGACCTCAAGGTCAAGCGCCTTCACTCGGATGGGGGGGGTGAATTTTGCAACGACAAGCTTAAAGCCTTCTGCTCCTCCGAAGGCATCCAGCAAAACTTCACCCTCCCTGACAGCCCTCAACAGAACGGCATAGCTGAGAGCCGCAACCACACTCTAGTGCAGATCACTCGGTGCCTCCTCAGCCACTCCAACGCTCCACACTCTCTCTGGGGATACGCTCTCTACCACGCCGCCCTCCTCTACAACCTTTACCCCCATCCGCACCTTCCCGACACCACTCCAACCACACTCTGGCTCGGGAAAACGCCCACTGCTCGCTCTCTTCGCGTTTGGGGATGCACCGCCTATGTCCTCCTCAACCCTCAGGCTCGACGCCAGAACGGTGGCAAGCTCGGTCCCAAGACTCAAACGTGCATCTACCTTGGGCACAACGCCGACTCACCTGACTACCTCTTCCTCAATCCCTCCACTCAACAGTTGGTCAGGAGCCGCGACGTTGTCTTTGATGAGACCCGCCCATTCTACTCCCCTTCGGGACGGGACCCTCTCCCTGATCCACCCTCCCTCGTGTGGGCAGACTTTGACGCGCCTCCCGACCTCCCGCCTGCTCCTGCCCCCTCACCTCCTCCCTCTCCTGCCATCCCACCATCTCCCTCTGAGGTCTCTGACCCGGCCTCACCGGTGTCTTCGGCGGCTGCTCCGCCCCCCCCCTCACCTTCCTCACTTCCCGCTGCGCCGCCCCCTCCGAGCGCACCTATCACCTACCATCGGCGGTCCCACCCTCCGGCCCCACCTCCTCCCCCAGTTCCCCCCACCACAGAGGAACCCGCTCTCCCACAGTCGCCCGAGCTGATCACGTACCGCCGGCGGCCCATTCCCCCACCCAAGCCTCCTAAGTCACCCTCTCCGACACCGCCTGCCCCGCCCTCCTCACCGGTGGCTCATGGCACCCGCTCCCATCGCGCTGCTCTTCCACTCGCAATGGTTCTTCGATACACAATGATCACACCGCCTCCTCCTGCTGGGGGGGATGTGCCCTCTACCCTTCTAGAAGACAGGCATGAGGAGCTGTGTGATCTCCATGCAGTCATTCCTCAGCTCTCACACATCTTCCCCGATATCACTGGCTCACCCTCCCTCAACCTCGCGGAGAACCCGACCATCCCTATCCCTCTCACCGTCCAAGAGGCTCTCTCAGGCCCTCATGCTGCCGAATGGCGTGCTGCCATGGACGCGGAGATTGCAGCATTCACTCGCAACCACTCTTTCGATGACGAGACTCCACCTCCAGGAGTCAACATCGTCGGGGGCAAGTGGTTGTTCCGTGTAAAACAGCTCCCAGACGAGGCACCGGTGTTCAAAGCGCGTTACGTAGCCAAGGGCTTCACCCAGCAGCGGTACCGCGACTTCGACCTAATCTTCTCCCCCACATCCAAACCTCCCACCATTCGAACGCTCATGGATGTTGCAGCTCGAGAAGACTTTGAGATCAAATCCATGGATGCCTCCTCCGCTTTCCTACAAGGACGTCTCAAGGAGACAGTGTTCATGGACAGACCAGAAGGCTTCCCAGGAGAATTCCCTCCCAACACAGTCTGGAAGCTGAATCGCCCCGTCTACGGCCTTAAACAAGCCCCTCGCGAATGGCACAACAAGGTGAAAGAAGTCCTCCTCTCCCTGGACTTCCACCCCTCAACTGCTGACCCGACTCTCTTCATCCGTCGTCATTCTGAGCCATTCTACATCCTAGTCTACGTGGATGATTTTATCCTCGTTGCCAAGGACTCGGCCCAAATGACCTCTGTCCAGGCAGCCCTGAGCAAGGCCCTCCAGATGAAAGACCTTGGTGACCTCAAGCACTACCTGGGAATGGAGATCACTCGTGATCGCAAGGCTCGCACCATCTCACTCTCCCAGGAGTTCTACATCGACAATGTGCTCAAGCGGTTTGAGATGGAGCTGTGCACACCTGTTGCCACCCCGCTGCCGCTGCAACACCTCCTTACAGCTCCTGCTGTACCCACACCAGAGGCCTGCTCTGAGCCATACCCGGAACTTGTTGGGTCCCTCATGTACGCCATGATGTGCACCCGACCGGACTTGGCCTACCCAGTCAGTGTTCTCTCTCGTTACGTGGCCCCGGGTCGCTTCACTAATCTTCATTGGAAGGCAGCAAAGCGGGTGCTGCGCTATCTTAAGGGCACAAAGTCCCACGTTCTCACACTCGGTGGGCTCTCCCCTCCTCGCCTGGAAGGTTACACAGACTCCTCCTGGGCTGATGACCAGACCGACCGGCGCTCCTCTCAGGGGTACTGCTTCACCCTCGGGAGCGGAACTGTCAGTTGGCGCTCCACCAGGTCGTCTGCAGTCTCCCTCTCCTCCTGTGAGGCGGAGCTCTACGCAGGCACCATGGCTGCTCAGGAGGCCCGTTGGTTCACCTTCCTACTCCAAGAGCTTGGCTTCCCTCAGTCAGCCCCCACCCTCTGGTGTGACAACCAGAGTACCATCCACATCTCTCAAGACCCTGTGTATCACACCCGCACCAAGCATATTGAACTTCGGCACTTCTTCATTCGTCACCTTGTGCAACAAGAGCAGCTGAAGGTGGAATACGTGGCATCTGACTGCAACCTGGCTGACCTGTTCACCAAGCCCCTTGGGAAGGTTCCCCACCATCGTCTCCTTGGCGCCATGGGGCTCTGCGCTCCTCCTTCTCCGCCATGAGTTCGATTGACGCCTCAGGGGGGGTGTTGGTGTTAGGCCCCAATCTCACATTTTGTACTTGTACTTTTATATCCTAGTTTAGTGTAGTTTGCACTTTGTGTTTGGTTGGGTGTACACCCACATCCCAACCAAACCCAAATGTAATCTCCAAGCAATCTCCAACCCACCAATTGGAGATTGCCTTGGGATTACCCTTGATTCCCTAGGATTGCCTCCTGATTCCCTCCTCATCCCTACCTTGCTCATTCCGGATGTACTTAAAGAGCTTTGAGCTCACTACTATAGTATCGATTCTAAGCTCAAGTTCTGACAGTGTCATCTCAAGAGTTGCAACAGAGCAACGCCATGCCGGCGCTTGTTGAGACGTGTCATCTCAAGAGTTGCAACAGAGCAACGCCATGCCGGCGCTTGTTGAGACGTGTCATCTCAAGAGTTGCAACGGAGCAACGCCATGCCGGCGCTTGTTGAGACGTGTCATCTCAAGAGTTGCAACAGAGCAACGCCATGCCGGCGCTTGTTGAGACGTGTCATCTCAAGAGTTGCAACGGAGCAACGCCATGCCGGCGCTTGTTGAGACGTGTCATCTCAAGAGTTGCAACAGAGCAACGCCATGCCGGCGCTTTTTAGCGCGGCTTGACAAGTGAGGGAGCGTGTCGGGAAAAAGGGGGGTGAGGAGGGAGGGAGGAAGGGGGAAGTGGTTCGGTTTGGGGGGTGCTTGCTCATTCCAAGTTGGCATTGTTGACAGTGTTCCGAGATCTGCTTCACAAGTGAGACGCCGTGTTTTGGGTCGACTCAAAACACGGCTCGTTCCAACGTGGCACTGTTGACAGCGTTCTGAGATCTGCTTGACAAGTGAGAGGGCATGGGGGAAAATGGGGAGAGGTGGGGGGGAGTGGCAGTGCTTGCTCGTTTCTGTTCTAAGAAAATGCTTAGCGTGAAAATACCTCCTCCCTCTTCACCTCCCCTCTGTCCTTCAGGTTCGGCGATCTGATTCGCTGCCACGGCCCTCCCTGTCCCGCCTTCCCCCCCCTACAGCTCTGCCTATCCCAACGTGCATGCGTGCTGGAACCCTCTCCTCAACGCACCTCTCCTGCTGCCCGGATCTGAATCACTTAGTGCAAGCACACCCGCTCGCTTGTCACTTTTGAGGCGCCTCAAAATTCGCCTCTTCTGCCACCCGCCCGCCGGATCAGATCGAAGTCGCTCAATGGATGGATCACTTAGTGCAAGGCAAGCACACCGCCTTGCTTGTCTCCTGACTGCCCCGAGCCCTTTAGCCTCAACTCAACACACCTCCTCTTCCTCCCGCCCTCAACCACCCCAGGTTCGGCGATCTGATTCGCTGCCACGGTCCTCCCTGTCCCGATTTCGCCCCCTGCGGCTCTGCCTACCCCAACGTGCACGCGTGCTGGAACGAGCATCTCGACGCGCCTCTGCTGCTACCCGCTCGCGCGCCCCTCAACTGCCCCAAGAAGGCCCCCCTTAAGAATCCGCGGGTGCCGTGGCAGAACCATGACAAGACGTGTTCTCATTCGAGAGACTTCAACCCCCGAGAGCCGTCCGCCATGCAGGTGCGGCCTGCTTGAACGGTAGGTGTGAGTCTGCTTTCGAGTGTTTGTGCAGGTGCGAGTGTTTGTGCAGGTGCGAGTGTTTGTGCAGGTGCGAGTGTTTGTGCAGGTGCGAGTGTTTGTGCAGGTGCGAGTGTTTGTGCAGGTGCGAGTGTTTGTTCAGGTGTGAGTGTTTGTGCAGGTGCGAGTGTTTGTGCAGGTGCGAGTGTTTGTGCAGGTGCGAGTGTTTGTGCAGGTGCGAGTGTTTGTGCAGGTGCGAGTGTTTGTGCAGGTGCGAGTGTTTGTGCAGGTGCGAGTGTTTGTGCAGGTGCGAGTGTTTGTGCAGGTGCGAGTGTTTGTGCAGGTGCGAGTGTTTGTGCGGGTGCGAGTGTTTGTGCGGGTGCGAGTGTTTGTGCGGGTGCGAGTGTTTGTGCGGGTGCGAGTGTTTGTGCGGGTGCGAGTGTTTGTGCGGGTGCGAGTGTTTGTGCGGGTGCGAGTGTTTGTGCGGGTGCGAGTGTTTGTGCGGGTGCGAGTGTTTGTGCGGGTGCGAGTGTTTGTGCGGGTGCGAGTGTTTGTGCGGGTGCGAGTGTTTGTGCGGGTGCGAGTGTTTGTGCGGGTGCGAGTGTTTGTGCGGGTGCGAGTGTTTGTGCGGGTGCGAGTGTTTGTGCGGGTGCGAGTGTTTGTGCGGGTGCGAGTGTTTGTGCGGGTGCGAGTGTTTGTGCGGGTGCGAGTGTTTGTGCGGGTGCGTGCCTTTTGGGGTGCTGGGCGGGTGTGGTGTCTGTGGTGTGTCCCGAGATGAAATTTGAGTCGCCTCGCCTCAATGTCAGGTGCGTGTGTTTAGTTTATTTTTTACTTGACTATAAAATGGCTTCATCTGAGTCGTCTCAATGTCAGGTGCGTGTGTCTAGGGTAGGCGTGCTGGCCATGGTTCATTCCGAGGTACCTTTGAGTCTCAATACAGGTGCATGTCTTTGAGCAGGTGTTTGTCCATAGTGCACCCGTATGCCAATGTGGCAGCGCCCCATGCCAATGTGGCAGCGCCCCATGCCCATGCAGGCCCCATGCCCCAATCCTCATGCTCCATGCCCCATGCATCATGCCTGCCCGCCCCGTGCCCCATGATTCATGCCCCTGTCCCGTTCCCACGCCATGCCATGCCATGCCATGCGCCATGCTGTGCCTCATGCTGTGCGTCATGCAGGTGTTTCGCCTGCATGAGGTCATGGTGACACACAAGGGCTTCGTCTTCAACGCCACCCACCGATACGTGCACCAGGGCTGCAAGCGATTCAACCCAGTGAGTGTGAGGGTTTCCATGAGTTAACATCTTGACTAGAAAGGGCGTGTATGCGTAGGGATAGTTACAAGGGCTTTGTCTTCAACGCCACCCACCTATACGTGCACCAAGGCTGCAAGCGATTCAACCCGGTGAGTGACTGTGAGGAGGGCAGTGCTCCATCACCTCCTCTCGAGGTGACTTTTGAGTCGACTCAAAAGTGAGTGAGGGTTACTGTGAGGAGCGCAGTGCTCCATCACCTCCTCTCCCTCCCTTCCCTCCTCCACCCTTTCCCTCCTCTTCTCCCTTCAATGCCAACCCACTAGCGCTCGTATCTAGGAAAAAAACGGGTTCAATTAGAGGCTATCCCCTCACCCCTTTCCACCCTTCTCCACCCCCCTCACCTTCCCATCACCCTCACCCAGTACTCGTACCCTCAGGGGCAGAAGGTGCCTCGCGTCGTCGACTGGGGCTACTCGCAGGGGGGGGGCTACTCGCAGGGGGCTACTCGCAGGGGGCTACTCGCAGGGGGCTACTCGCAGGGGGCTACTCGCAGGGGGCTACTCGCAGGGGAGCAAATTCCACCATTTCCTAGTCGAGGCCATCCCCTCACCCTCCCCCATACCTCCCTTCCGTTCATCTCTCCCTCAACCCTCACCCAGTACTGATACCCGCAAGGCCACAAACAAAATGTGTCGCATCAAGCCGGCCTTTGTTTGGGGCTACTCACAGGGGAGCAACGTCTGCCACTTCCTAGTCCAGGCTATCCCCTCCTCCCTTCAACCCCTCCTCCCTTCAACCCCTCCTCCCTTCAACCCCTCCTCCCTTCTCCTCCACCCCTTTCCATTCCGCTCTTCTCCGCCCTTCTTCACCCGCGGCCCTCTCAACTCTCTCCTCCAGTTCTCATACATACCCGCAGGGCCAGAAGGTGCATCGGATAGAACTGACAGTTGAGTGGGACTACCCACAAGTCGCCAGCTTCTACCACTTCTTATTGGAGGCCGCCCCTTCCTTCGTCATCGCTTCACTTCACCCTCAACCCCTCTCCACCCCTCCCCACCCCTCGAACCTCTGCCTGTCCTGTCGTCTTCCTCAACCAGTATTCCTACCCTCAGGGTCAAAAGGTGCATCACCCTAAATTGGCCTTTGACTGGGGCTACTGGGAGGGCACCAACTGTTTTCTGAGAATTCTAAAATAACAGACTCATCACGCTGAACTGGCCTTTGAATCTTTGACTGGTCGTCGAGGTTGTCTCCTACTTTTCCCGCTTCACCCTTCTCCACCCTTCTCCACCCTTCTCCACCCTTCTCCACCCTTCTCCACCCCTCTCCACCCCTCCCCTCCCTGTCCCCTCCCCCCCTCTCCTCCAGTTCTCCTACCCACAAGGCCAGAAGGTGCATCGGATAAAGCTGGCGTTTGACTGGGGCTACACGCAGGGCAGCAACTTCTACCACTTCCTAGTCGAGGCCATCCCTTCCTTCTTCGTGGCCGCTGCAGCACTGCCCAACCTCAGAGACATTCCCATCATAGCAGAGCGCTTCCAGGTGCATGTCTGCATGAGGGTGGGTGGGTGGGCGGGTGGGTGGGTATGGATGTGTGGTGTGAGTACGTGGAATGGTGGTGGTTGTGTTTGTGAGTTGACTCAAGCCACCTCAACGACTTGCGCGGTCGTCAGCCTTCATTCATTACACTTCTTTTCATTGCAACTCATTTGTTGACCTTCCCCCTCTCGTCCTTGTGTGCAGTGCAGTGGAGTGCAGTTTGCAGTGCAGTCCAGTGCAGTGCAATGGAGTGGAGTTTGCAGTGGCATTCATTGCACTAGGTTTATGGCTTCGCCGGGTGTATGCGCGTCAGTCTTGGTTATAAACTTTGTTGACGGTCAACTTCTTCTTCCTTTCCCCTCACCTCCTTGCGCAAGAGCAGTGGGACCTATACGACAGCATAGGCCGCATCTTCACAGGTGTGAACGGGTGTCACTACCCAAACATGGTACTGCACTCAATCCCCATTCAATCTCCTCTCACCTCCTTTGCGCACATACAGTGGGACCTATACGACAGCATAGGCCGCATCTTCATAGGGGTGAATCGGACGGACATGAGAGCCCTTCAGGCAACCGAGGGGGACCTCTTTCACGTCGACACGCTCTATTTGGTGCGTGGGTGGATGGGAGCATGGGCGTGTCGGTGCATGGGCGAGTGGGCGTGTCGGTGCATGCGCGAGTGGGTGTGTGGGTGCATGCGCGAGTGGGTGTGTGGGTGCATGCGCGAGTGGGTGGATGGGTGCATGCATTTTCAGAAATCTCAAAAGCAGCCGAGGGTGTATGCGTGCATGCATCGGTTCGTGGGTGGATGGATGGGTGGCTGTGTGTTGACATGCCTCTCTGTAAACCCAACTTATCCCACCACCATCACCGGCACCTTCCAACATCAACTCACTCAATCTCCCTCCATGCTGCTCTCTCCTCCCCCCCTGCTCTCTCCTCCTCCCCTGCTCTCTCCTCCTCCCCTGCTCTCTCCTCCCCCCCTGCTCTCTCCTCCTCCCCTGCTCTCTCCTCCCCCCCTGCTCTCTCCTCCTCCCCTGCTCTCTCCTCCCCTGCTCTCTCCTCCTCCCCTGCTCTCTCCTCCTCCCCTGCTCTCTCCTCCCCCCCTGCTCTCTCCTCCTCCCCTGCTCTCTCCTCCCCCCCTGCTCTCTCCTCCTCCCCTGCTCTCTCCTCCTCCCCTTCTCTCTCCTCCTCCCCTTCTCTCTCCTCCCCTTCTCTCTCCTCCTCCCCTGCTCTCTCCTCCTCCCCTGCTCTCTCCTCCCCCCCTGCTCTCTCCTCCTCCCCTTCTCTCTCCTCCTCCCCTTCTCTCTCCTCCTCCCCTTCTCTCTCCTCCTCCCCTGCTCTCTCCTCCCCCCCTGCTCTCTCCTCCTCCCCTGCTCTCTCCTCCCCCCCTGCTCTCTCCTCCTCCCCTACTCTGTCCTAGGGATGAGCAAAGGGCGAACACGAACATGTTCGTCTTCGCCCCTTGTCGAACACCCTCTTTTGCCGAACCGAACACTGTTCGGTTCGGCGAACAGTTTAGGAAAAAACAGGTGTTCGCTGTTCGCCTGTGGAGGCGTGTTCGGGCGAACCTCGAACACTGTTCGTGTTCGTCGCGGGCAAATTTCAGCAGCGGCCCGAACACGAACGTGTTCGGGCGAACATCGAACACTGTTCGGCGAACGATTTGAGCTAAAAAACAAAACCTGTTCGGTTCGCCTCGAACGTGTTCGAGGCGAACCGAACAGGTGTTCGCCACCTTGCTCATCCCTACTCTGTCCTCCCCCCCTGCTCTCTCCTCCTCCCCTTCTCTCTCCTCCTCCCCTTCTCTCTCCTCCTCCCCTGCTCTCTCCTCCTCCCCTGCTCTCTCCTCCCCCCCTGCTCTCTCCTCCTCCCCTGCTCTCTCCTCCCCCCCTGCTCTCTCCTCCTCCCCTACTCTGTCCTAGGGATGAGCAAAGGGCGAACACGAACATGTTCGTCTTCGCCCCTTGTCGAACACCCTCTTTTGCCGAACCGAACACTGTTCGGTTCGGCGAACAGTTTAGGAAAAAACAGGTGTTCGCTGTTCGCCTGTGGAGGCGTGTTCGGGCGAACCTCGAACACTGTTCGTGTTCGTCGCGGGCAAATTTCAGCAGCGGCCCGAACACGAACGTGTTCGGGCGAACATCGAACACTGTTCGGCGAACGATTTGAGCTAAAAAACAAAACCTGTTCGGTTCGCCTCGAACACGTTCGAGGCGAACCGAACAGGTGTTCGCCACCTTGCTCATCCCTACTCTGTCCTCCCCCCCTGCTCTCTCCTCCTCCCCTTCTCTCTCCTCCTCCCCTTCTCTCTCCTCCTCCCCTGCTCTCTCCTCCTCCCCTGCTCTCTCCTCCCCCCCTGCCCTCTCCTCCTCCCCTGCTCTCTCCTCCCCCCCTGCTCTCTCCTCCTCCCCTGCTCTCTCCTCCTCCCCTGCTCTCTCCTCCCCTTCTCTCTCCTCCTCCCCTTCTCTCTCCTCCTCCCCTTCTCTCTCCTCCTCCCCTTCTCTCTCCTCCTCCCCTGCTCTCTCCTCCCCCCCTGCTCTCTCCTCCTCCCCTGCTCTCTCCTCCCCCCCTGCTCTCTCCTCCTCCCCTGCTCTGTCCCCCCCCCCTGCTCTCTCCTCCTCCCCTTCTCTCTCCTCCTCCCCTTCTCTCTCCTCCTCCCCTGCTCTCTCCTCCTCCCCTGCTCTCTCCTCCCCCCCTGCTCTCTCCTCCTCCCCTGCTCTCTCCTCCCTCCCTGCTCTCTCCTCCTCCCCTGCTCTCTCCTCCTCCCCTGCTCTCTTCTCCTCCCCTTCTCTCTCCTCCTCCCCTTCTCTCTCCTCCCCCCCTGCTCTCTCCTCCTCCCCTGCTATCTCCTCCCCCCCTGCTCTCTCCTCCTCCCCTGCTCTGTCCTCCCCCCCTGCTCTCTCCTCCTCCCCTTCTCTCTCCTCCTCCCCTTCTCTCTCCTCCTCCCCTGCTCTCTCCTCCTCCCCTGCTCTCTCCTCCCCCCCTGCTCTCTCCTCCTCCCCTGCTCTCTCCTCCCCCCCTGCTCTCTCCTCCTCCCCTGCTCTCTCCTCCTCCCCTGCTCTCTCCTCCTCCCCTTCTCTCTCCTCCTCCCCTGCTCTCTCCTCCCCCCCTGCTCTCTCCCCCTCCCCTGCTCTCTCCTCCCCCCTTGCTCTCTCCTCCTCCCCTGCTCTCTCCTCCCCCCTTGCTCTCTCCTCCTCCCCTGCTCTCTCCTCGACCCCCCCCCCTGCTCCGCCACCTGCCTGGCCCCAGCCCATGCTCCAAGAGTGTGGGGCGCCCAACAAGCCACTCTGGATGCAGCGGTGGCAGCACCAGAACCCGTCTTTCACCCCCTCTCTCTCTTCCAACACCACTCGTTCCTGCTCTCTCCTTCCCCCCCTTTTCCCCCCTAAACCCCCCTCTCCTACCCCCAGCCCATGCTCCAAGAGTGTTGGGCGCCCAACAAGGCCCTCTGGATGGAGCTGAGGCAGCACCATCTGCTGTTTCACCTCCTCTTTATTCTTCCCTTCCCTTTTCCCCCTACCCCACGCCTCCCCCTCCTCCCCACAGCCAATGCTGCAGGAGTGTGGGGCGCCCAACAAGGCCCTCTGGATGGAGCTGAGGCAGCACCATCTGCTGTTTCACCTCCTCTTTATTCTTCCCTTCCCTTTTCCCCCTACCCCACGCCTCCCCCTCCTCCCCACAGCCAATGCTGCAGGAGTGTGGGGCGCCCAACAAGGCCCTCTGGATGGAGCTGAGGCGGCACCACCTGCTGCACCGGCAGGGCCTGCCACTCTTCCGCCCCGACTTCTCCTACCACTACCGCCCAGCGCTCTCCTACCAGCAACTCACCCACCTGCCCCCCGACTGGGTGGTGGTGTTGGCGCAGCGGCCGTCAGGGAAGCGCTCCTTCAGCAACGCTGAGGAGGTTAAAGAAGCGGTTCTCGCCGCGTTTCCAGCAGAGAGGGTTGTTGTGTTTGACGGGTCGCCGCAGCTCATGCAAGGTGCGTTGCTTGCCCTGGGGTCTGGTCTGGTTCTGAGGGCCCTTGGGAAAAGAGGGGTTCCTCTTTGAGGCTCTCTCCTATCAGCAGCTCTCCCACCTGCCGCACGACTGGGTGGTGGTGCTCACACAGCGTCCCTCTGACGCACCTGACACATCTTAGAGAGCGACGGGTGTGGTTTCACTTGAGGCGCCTCCTACCAGCAGCAGCTCACCTCACCTGCCTTCCGCCCGACTGGCTGATCGTGTTGGCTCGCTGCCCACCATGTGTGCACACGGCTCTGCTGTGGTGTTGTTCACCCCACACACACACACATGGTTCACCACACACACACACATGGTTCACCACACACACGCACATGGTTCACCACACACACACACATGGTTCACCACACACACACACACATGGTTCACCACACACACACACATGGTTTACCACACACACACACATGGTTCACCACACACACACACATGGTTCACCACACACACACACATGGTTCACCACACACACACACATGGTTCACCACACACACACACATGGTTCACCACACACACACACATGGTTCACCACACACACACACATGGTTCACGACACACACACACATGGTTCACCACACACACACATGGTTTACCACACACACACACATGGTTCACCACACACACACACATGGTTCACCACACACACACACATGGTTCACCACACACACACACATGGTTCACCACACACACACACATGGTTCACCTTCACAAAGCGCTCCTTCACAAAGCGCTCCTTCACCAACTCCTCGTTCTCTTCATTCCTACAGCATGTGTGGAGTTGTTCTGCCTGGCTGGGATGTTTGTGGGAGGGCAGGGGGCAGCACTCTCCGACCTCATCTTCCTGAACCACCCCTTCCTCTCCACTCTCTCCCCCCCACACTGCCCCCAACCCCCCGTATTTCTCCTTCCACCCGCACTCGTTTTTCTCTCGTCTCAGCGTGTGCCTTGTTTTGCCGCACACGGCTCTTTGTGGAATGGCACGGGGCGACACTCTACCTCGCATTCATGCCTCTCACCACTCCCCCCTTCTTCCCCCTCTCCCTCCTCGCCCACTCCTTCCCCCTCCCACCCGCCTCCTCCCCATTTGGTCCTGCCTTCCTCCCGGTTTCTGTCCCCCACTCATTTCCCATCCCCTCCCACACCCCTTCTTCCCCATTCCCGCAGCCTGTAATGTAATTTGTTCCATCGCACTTGGCTCTTGATGGGAGGGCACGGGGTGGCACTCTCCAACCTTGATTTCCTCAGCCATCCCTCCCTCCCCACTCTGTTCCCACACTCCACCCAACCCTCCCTTTTCTCTCAGCCCGTAGTTAGTTTCGTCGCATTCTGCTCTTTGTGGGAGGGCACGGGGCAGCACTCTCCAACCCCACGCCACTTCCCTACTCATTCCTACCACTTTACCCTCTCCCACACTCTTTCCTTATTCCCCAGCACGTGCTTTGTTCCGCCGGACTCGGCTCTTTGTGGGCGGCCACGGGGCGGCGTTATCCAACCTCATCTTCATGCCCGTCAGATCGCACCTCTTGGAAATTCGCCCTGACAAATGCCCCAACCGGTGTTACAACAGTCTCGCGTATGCGTGCTCTATAAAGTACTATTTGCTGTTTAGCGAAGGGACGTGTGACACCACTGTCATTGCGGACATTCCTAGACTACAAAGGACGCTTAATTCCATTGCCAGGAATCTCAAAAAGGAGGATGTGGCTCTTGGACGAGCTTGGGAGCCTGCTTGATTAATACGTAAATTTGTTTCTTTATTTCACAAGTGAATATCATTGGTTAATGAGCAGAAGATCAATGGTACCGTCACACCCCGGATATACCCCCATGGGGGGCAATAATAAAATGTATTTTTAGAGGTGTGGGCTTATAATCGAGTAAATTTATAAGTGCAAGCGCTTATAAAATGACATATATAAATTTTATGTTTTCTAACACCAAACTGTAGATCTCATGCTTGCCTTTTCAATCGAGTCGAAGTTACATGGGGTCGTCAGCGAAATTCTCGCGCGCTGGGAGATACACTCAATCTGACTCACATCCAGCTCCTGACAGCTTCTGCTGACTAGACTCGCATCCAGTGCAGGGTCCAAATGTGGAGGGAACCGAATCTGCAACAAGACCTCTCGATATCAGGGTGAAACACCCTTATGGCCTTTACTATAAGGGTGGGTTTAAGTGTTCACCCTTGTTTTTAAAAGTTGTTTTATGAGGCACCCTTAGCCGAAAAAAAATTCTTTTTGTTAACACTGATATTTAAGACATGCTGGGTGTACTCACCCTGATGACAAAGACTAGTGTCGCGTACCACCCTGATGCGATTTGACGCGGGGGGGGGGGGGGGGGGGGGGGGGGGTACTGACGAGATTTGGGCCGCGATTAGCGGCGTTTTGCCCGAGTCAGCAGATGTGCGCGTCGCCTAGACGGCTCGCGTCGCCACTGCCATAGTCCCGTCAACTGTACCTGGCTCACCTGCAATTTTCCCAGCTGGCAATGCCGCGCAGCGCCACACGCTCGTGCTTCGTGCAGGAGGAGTGTCCTGCTTGGAAGCATCTCTTCTTCCCTCCCCCGCAGGCACCCACCCACCGATCAGTCTCACGCACGCACCCAACCCCAGTCCTCCTCGTTTCATTTCTCAATCCTTCCTCCTCGCTATCTCGTCTAGTCTAGAGTTTGCAAACCACGCCACCGCTCTCTCATACAGCTAGCGTAGGCCCAGCTCCTGCATCCACCCTCTGGGCCTCGCCATGGCTGCTGACAAACCCTGTGATGGTGACGACGAAGCACGTCGTCAAGTCCAAAATTCACCCCCACGAACGGGCCTCAGCTTTCTACGAACCCCCGCTAAACATCTGCCAGATCTGGAGCCCGTAGTTGCTTCTACCGAGAATGAAACCTGCGTGGATGAATCAGGGCATGACCTGCGCTCACCTGAAGTTTGCACTACAACGACTGAACCTTCCCCTCCAGAAGCGACAGCTCGTGTAACGGAGATCGGCGTTGTGGCTGGCGACTCTGCGAACAAGAAGCGTAAAGATTCAAGCGGTGGTAGTGCTAAGCAGTGGTGGCAACAACCGAAGCTCTCTTTGAAGCGGGCGGCACGTCCAACCCCACGAATGGAGGACCAGGGAAGTGATGACAAGGAGGATGAAGATGGCCTACCGACAGTGGAAGAGATGGCCCGTTATCCCGAAGTCGCTTTTGCTAAAGCGCATAATCGTTTTAAGACGTCATGGGAATCTTTGTTTTCGTGGCTTATTCTAACTCGTGATGACGTTGGCTTCCCTATTTTGAGATGCAACACGTGCTTGGAGCATGGAGCGGAAGGCGCGAAAACGGCATATGGCAAGGGAGGCAGTGGAGGGCGCGACATGCACAATGGGAGCATCCGGACGCACCAGCGCTCCACCGCACACCAGGACGCACACGCCGAGATGAAGTCGAAGGAGAGCCGGAACCTTCGTGAAACGTTGCTGAGCGAGCTCGAGGGGTTGGATCGCAGCACGCTTCACATCATCACCGCTCTGAAGACTACCGTGTACATCTGCAATTCGGAGGCGCCAATCACCTCCTAAGTGGGCACCATCAAGTTCATGGCCGAGCTCGGAGTCCCGAACCTTCCCTTGGATTCCAAGGGAAACAACTTTTCGGAGTAAGTCTCGGGGTACGTGCAGTGGTTGTACTAGTTCCATTACCACTTACTTGATTGGCAGCGTGCTAACCTCTATGGATATCTCATGCAGGTACGGTTTCGGGGAGTTACTAGATACTGCCGCGAAGTACATGCGGCAAGAGCAACTGAAGCAGATCGAGGCAAGCCCGTACATCTCGACGAGAGTACTGACAAGGCGCACGGCAAGCACCTGATCGTCTACGTGGCCTTCATGAAGGACGGGGCGAGCGTCTGTGAGTTCCTCATGCTGCTGCAAGTTGACAAATGTGACGCGGCAAGTCTCGTCGATGTGCTACTGATCCACCTTGATGCCATGGCCATTGACATGTCCAGAATCGTTGGAATCAGCACCGATGGCGCCAGAGTCATGACAGGCACTAGCAATGGTGTTGTGGCACGACTCCAGGCGAGGAATCTCTATCTCGTGTCGTGCCACTGCGTCGCACATCGGTAAGTCCGTCTGTGTTATTGGCGTTAAGGCAGGTGTGTAGTGTTGATCATGTACTGCCCACTCACTTCAATCGCACGTTTTATCTGTTCTACCTTGAGCAGGGAGGCGTTGGTCGCAAAGGATGCTGCTGAGAAGGTGCCAGAGTTCAACATCATAGACCAGGCGGTGCGCAACGTGGCGGAGCAGCTATCTAGGTCGAGCAACTGGCACCGGCGATTCGAGCACCTTCAGGAGTGCATCTGCGAAACAAACTTGGAGCTGTAGGGGATCCACGACGTGCAGTGGATCTCTAGAGGGGAGGCAATCAAGCGGTTCGCCAAGGTTCTGCCGACCACGATCGTCCTGCTACACGATTTCAAGCACGCGCTCTATGAAGCCGTCACCTCTTTCAAATTACACTTCATGCTTTTCTTCCTTGCAGACATTCTTGCCGTGCTCAACGAGCTCAATGCCAAGTTCCAGAAGCAGCAGGTGACGTGTGGGGTTTTGAGGTTGTACATGTTGCCCGTTATTTCCCACCTTGGTACCCCGTTTCCGAGCCTTGTTCCTAGTTGTTGTAAGTGGCGGTTGTGTGCCGTTGTTAACCATCGTACATCAACCTCTGGCAGCAACTCCTCATCCCACCCACAGGTTGACATCACGGTGGTCGCGGGGGAGGTGTCGCTCGCTTGCCGGATGATCGAAGTGCGTTACGTGGACTGCGAGGACCGTTTCGGCAACAATCATTCACCCATGCTCTGCGCGTTCCTAAAGAAGCACGGCAACCCTCCACACCCTGAGGTCACCGTTAATGGCGTGGACCAGAATGGCGACGCTGCAGAGCACAAGTTCGAGCTTCACGAGCGTAAGATCCCAGGACACAAGACGGGCGACGACTACTACTCCTGCAAGGCGGTGTGTCAGGAGTTTGCAAGGGCCTGCGTTGCGCGACTCGAGTTCCGCCTGGAAGACCTCAAGGACCTGGCCGGCTCCAAGCTTTTCCGGCCTTCGTGCTATCCTGACGACAACGCGCAGCGGATGAAGAAGTGCCGCGAGTGGCTGGGCATGCTGGACCACATGTTTCACCACCACCTCTTTGGTACGCCACCTGGTTGTGCTTGCAATATGCTGTCTGCTCTGTGTGTGTGTGTACCTTGGTGTGCTGCTAAACATCTCCCATACGCCCCGATCGCCCCTCTCATTGCTCTCCCATCCTGTCAGGTGTGTGCTTCAGCGAGAGGGAGCTACCGTTGTTTCTCCACACCATGGATACCAACCACGGCAACATCAGCTTCCACAAGTCCCTCTCGCTCATGCTCTAGTCAGCGAACTACATAGGAGCTTACCCGAACCTTGTGCAGCTGTGGCAGGCCGCGGGGCTTCAGTCGCCAGAACCGTATCAAGACGTGGAAACGGACATGCCTGGGCGACGCAAAATTGGGCGTTCTGATGACTGCAGCCCTCCTGCCCAGTAATGGTTTGAACTGGGTGAATGTGGTAGCCCTGTTCAATGCTAGCAAGAAGCGCCGTCCTACCTAGGAGTTCCTGTATTGACTTGTGCTTTCCCTTGCTTTGAGTATTCTGCTGGAACCAGGCCAGGCCAGACCATCCCATATGTAGGTCCTACTGTTGTTCTAGCTCTAGTCATGTAGTTTTTTGTTGTAATTCACATGTCACATCACATATGAAGTCAACCATATATTACTCGTTGGTAAACAAAAAATGGTACAACTAACCAAGATGCACAGCACAGCATACTGACGAGCACGAGTAACACTGCAGCCAACACTGATAAACAAGACTGACATGGCTGCCTCACCCTTACTGAAAGACCAGCTTTGGCAAACTGCCCTTTCGACTAAGAGTGCTTCCAAACCTATCCAGAGGCCTATCTGCAACACATTCGCCTGCTAAAGTAAAATTCGTTAGAGCGTTTTGAACACATTTCAAATTTTAAAGTTTATGTGCGCTTATAATAAAACAAGTTTTTTTCAAGGGGTGCGCTTATAATCGAAGAGCGGATATAAGCGCCATATGCCAATTAAAAGTGCCTGGCGCTTATCCAAGGGTGGCGCTTATATCCAGGGTATGACGGTAGAAACACATTGGAAGCTAAAACCGATTTCAATCTCTATTGAACAACTTTCCTTTAAAGCCCGGGGTCAGCATGGTAAAGTTTCGAGTTATGTGGATATGAAATAGGCTATAGGTGACGATGTGCGTGTCAGAATGTTATCTTATGCTCTAGCCTGTAGTGGGGTGCTCTATAGCGAGTACAACCCTTCTAGGGTTTGCTATTTGTATCCCCATTCTTGCTAGTGCACTCCTCTTCTTTCTTCTAATTTTCACATGCTATCAGAGCAGGTCGATCCCCTTGGATCGATCCTTTGGGTGGGTTACCACCTCCTCGCTTCCGCTGCAACACCTACACTTCTCTCTGAGCCGCACGCCCCGTGGCGTGCGGCATTTTTTTTCTTCCCGCCGTGCGCCCCCGGGCGTGCGGCGGTTTTTTCGGCCCGCCGTGCGCCCCAAGGCGCGCGGCGATTCTCTGCCCGCTGTGCGCCCCGAGGCGCGCGACGGGCTTCTGCCCCGTCGTTCGCCGCGTCGCCCTCTGGAGGCGCCGCGACGGGCGACGGGGACCCGTCGTGGCGCACGGAGGGCACGCGCCCCGGCCCCGTCGCCCTACCTTCGCCCCGGCCCCGCCTGCGGCCCCGGCTCCGACGCCCTACTTGCGCCCCGGCCCCATCGCCCTACCTGCGCCCCGGCCCCGGCCCCGCCTGCGGCCCCTTTTCCCGTCGCCCGTCGCGGCTCCCTCGGGGGCCGCTACCTGGGGGAGGGGGGCGAGCGCCGCCCCTTCTGCTGCCTGTTTTGGCGCCCTGGGAGGCCGCGCGTCAGTCCCCCCCCCCCCCCCCTCCCCCGTAACCTCCCTACCCGCCATCCCGCCCTGCCAGTGTTAGGGTTTGGGGAGTGGCGAGTAGGGGGTGGCGAGTATGGGGGTGGCACTTCTGCATTCCTCCCTTTCCTCCTCCTCCTCCTTCATCTCCCACTGCTGCAGGTGTCGCTGAGGGGGGTGGATGTGTGGGAGACTGGGGTTTAGGGTTTAAGGGGGGTGCGTGGGAGTGGAGCTAGCGGTGTAGCAGTGGGTGTGTGCCAGGGGGAGTGGGATAGTTTGGGGAAGCTGAATGGAGGTTGCCGTCGTGTCGCTAGCAGCACCTGTATTCCGGGGACTTCGTCTAGTAGCCCAGTCGTAGCCAGCTGTGCCAGCCGTCCGTGGGTCCGTTGCTCGTCTGCCGCTACTTTAGCCGCGGGGCCAGTTACTCCAGTATTCCGGAGCGTTGTTCCGGTAGCCGCTGTGCCATTTTGCCTCCTGTTGCCCGTGTGTCTGCAGCTTCATCCGTTGCCTCCTATCTCCTCTCCTCTCACTCTCTCTCCTCCTCCTCACTTGCCCGTTGTGACTACCACTAGCTTTGCTCATAATTGTGAACCTTAAACTATTGCTTCTTGAACTTGTGCTCAGAATGTGTGGTGACATTGTGATCCACCCTGAGCTTGTACTGCTTTGCTTGC